GTCGGCCGTCTCCCACCGGGCGGGTGACCCAAAAAAGAAAGAAAATCCCCAAAAAAAAAATACTTTCATCATCATTCAACACTTTCACCAAAACTCGACATTTTCACTGTTTTTGCAGAGGTGCTCAGAATACAACAGTCTAGAAGCATAAACATATAAAGATAACCCCAACTACCCCCCCAAACGCCATATCCCAAACCCCTCCTTTAAAAATGCAGGGATTGTACTTCCCATTTCCCGGACTCAAATTTCCCACTATATGGAAAAAAACCCGGTTTCCCCGAAAACCCCCTTTACTAAATTTTTACCCTGCCACACCCAACAGGGGTTTTGTCAGGGGGCCCCCAAATACCATTCGGCTCCCAAAAAAATTTTTCCCCCTATCTAACACGCTCACGCCCGCTTGCTGGGGAATCCAAGCCCCCTTTCCCCCAAAACCCCCTTTACCCCCTCTCTCCCAAACCCCCCGAGGACGACCCCCTACCCCCCCCTTTCCCTTTCCCCCATAGATTTATATGCTTTCAAAGTCATTCTACTGTGATCCATTCCTTTTAAAAAGAACCCAAAACCCCCTCAACAACCCCTCTTCTGCCCTTTTGCTAAAACTTTTATAACTCCAACCTTCTCCCAATTTCCACACTCCCAAAATTTTTTGATAAAAATTTTCACCCCCACATTTCCCTTAAACGGAAAATCTCCCCTGCCCCCCCAAAAAGTCCCCCTCGCTGCTGCATTTACCACCCCAAACTTTTTACACCCATATAAGAGGGTTTGGGACTTCTATACTTTCTACATTCCCTTCTTTGCCCCCAAAGATAAAAGTTTTTTTTACTCCACATAACCCAACCACCACCACCTTTTTTTTCCCCCTCAAAATTTTATGAATTTTAAACCCCATCCCTTTATAAATCCATCCGCCCACACGTCAACTCCCAAGGGATCTGAAAAAATTCCCCTTTTTTCCATACTCCCCTCCCCAATTTGATTCCAAATTTTTCTTTATCTAAATCATTTGACACCCTCATCACCTTACTCTTTTCTATTTTTCACTTTCAACTTTCTCCCTTTACACACTTTCCCCAAAAACTCATCCACTAACCTTTGCAATTTTTCTTTAGAATCTCCCATAAGCACAGTATCACAGCAAAAAGTAACTGTGTCAATTCCCATTTTGAATTTGATTCCCCCATAATTTAATCCACCCCTCTCCCAAACACCCTAGCATTTACTTCCTTTACAACCCATTATAAATATATTAAACAACCATGGTGACATTACACATCCCTGTCTAAGACCTACTTTTACCGGGAAGTAGTCTCCCTCTCTTCTACACACCCTAACCTGAGCCTCACTATCCTCATAAAAACTCTTTACAGCATTTAAAAACTTACCACCTTTCCATATACTTGCAACATCTGCCACATTGCTCCCTCTATCCACCTTTTCATATGCCTTTTTTAAATCCATAAATGCAATAAAAACTTCCATATCTTTATCTAAATACTGTTCCATATATGCTTCATGTAAAACACCTGATCTACACATCCCCTACCCACTCTAAAACTCCTTTCTCATCCGCAATCCTACATTCTGTCTTACCTCTAATTCTTTCAATTATAACCCTACCGTACACTTTTCCTGGTATACTCAGTAAGCTTATTCCTCTATAATTTTTACAGTTTTTTTGTCCCTTTCCCTTTATATAAAGGGACTATACATGCCTCTCTGCCAATCCCTAGGTACCTTCCCCTCTTTCATACATTTATTAAACAAAAGTACCAACCACTCCAACACTATATCCCCCCTGCTTTTAACATTTCTGTCATGGGTCCCATCAGTTCCAGCTGCTTTACCCCCTTTCATTTTACGTAATGCCTCCCCGTACCTCCCCCACACTTACATTCTGCTCTTCTTCACTCCTAAAAGATGGTATACCCCCCTGACCAGTGCATTGAAATTACTGCCTCGTTTCTTCTTAACATTTAAAAGTTCCTCAAAATATTCTCGCCATCTACCCAATACGTCCATCTCCCCATCTACTAATCCCCTACTCTGTTTTTACTGACAAATCATATTTTCCCTGGGCTTTCTTAACTTGTTTAACTCACCCCCAAAATTTTTTCTTATTTTCATTAAAATTTCTTGACAGTGCCTTCCCACTCTATCATCTGCTCTCCTTTTGCACTCTCTCACCACTCTCTTTACCTTTCTTTTACTCTCCATATACTCTGCTCTTCTTATAACACTTCTGCTTTGTAAAAACCTCTCATAAGTTTACCTTTTTCTCTTTTATCACACCCTTTACTTCATCATTCCACCAATCACTCCTCTTTCCTCCGGGCCCCCACCCTCCTATAACCACAAACTTCTGCCCCACATTCTAATACTGCATTTTTAAAACATTCCAACCCTCTTCAACCCCCCCATTTACTCATCTTTGCACTAGCCCACCTTTCTCCCAAATAGTCGCTTATATCTCACCCAAAACTTCCTCCTCCCTTAGTTTATACACTTTCACTTTCCCTCTTACTTGTTGTTGCCACCTTCCTCTTTTCCCTCTACCTCTTACTCTAACTGTAGCTACAACTAAAAAATGATCCGATATATCAGTTGCCCCTCTATAAACATGTACATCCTGGAGCCTACCCATAAACCCTTTTATCCACCAATACATAATCTAATAAACTACTTTCATTACGTGCTACATATACCTTGTATATTTATTTATCCTCTTTTTCATAAAATATGTATTACTTATTACCAAAATTTTTTCTACACATAGCTCAATTTTAAAGGCTCCCCATTTACATTTACCCCCGGCACCCCAAATTTACCTACTACTCCCTCCATAACATTTTTACCCACTTTAGGGATTTAAAAACCCCCCAAACCACCATTACTCTCACACTTGATTCAAAACTCCCCACGCATTCACTCAAAATTTCCCAAAATCTCTCTCTCTCCTCTACACTTCTCCTCCCAGGTGCTAACGCTTTTTTATAACCCACTTTTCACATCCAATCTTTATTTTACTCCACATAATCCTTGAATTAATACATTTATAGTCCCTCTTTTTCCTGCCTAGCTTATCCTTCAACATTATTGCTACTCCTTCTTTAGCTCTAATCTATTTTTAAACCCTGACCTAATCCCATTTATTCCTCTCCACTGAAACTCTCCCACCCCCTTCAGCTTTGGGTTTCACTTAAAGCCAGGACATCCAGCTTCTTCTCATTTAACATCCACAATCATCTCTTTCTTATCATCTGCACAACATCCACGCACATTCAGACTTCCCACTTTGACAATTTTCTTCTTCTTTCTTTTTAGTAATCTTTACAGGAAAAGGGGTTACTAGCCCATTGTTCCCCGGGATTTTAGTTGACTTTTACAACACGCATGGCTTACGGAGGAAAGATTCTTATTCCACTTCCCCATGGATATAAAAGGAAAATTAATAAGACCAAGAACTATTAAGATAAAATCAAAGAAAACTCAGATGAGTGTGTATAAATAAATGTGTACATGTATGTGTAGTGTGACCTAAGTGTAAGTAGAAGTAGCAAGACATGCCTGTAATCTTGCATATTTATGAGACAGACAAAAGACATCAGCAATCCTACCATCATGTAAAACAATCACAGGCTTCGTTTTACACTCACTTGGCAGGACGGTAGTACCTCCCTGGGTGGTTGCTGTCTACCAACCTACTACCTATAAAATTATTAATACATTCGTCAATATCTGTATAGATTTCTAGCTCAGTGTGCCAATCAATGTTTGCTAATGCTGTTGCGAAGTTATTAATGGCTGCCTCATTGTGAAGTCTGAAGGTGACTTTAGTAGTGTCTTGGGGTAGTTTACCAAGAGTTGTTATGAGGAAAGTAGGGTAGTGGTCTGTGGTATTATCTGTAATTATGCCTGATTTTAAAGGGGATATGGTGTTGGTCCAGATGTGGTCAAGTAGGGAAACACTAGTCTCTGTAACTCTTGTAGGTTTTGTTACTGTTGGTAGTAACATACAGTTACTCATTGTGTTTGTGAATTCAGTAACGTGGTGGGTCCTGGTCTTGCAGGAGATTTATATTGAAGTCACCTGAGAGTAGTAAGTGATTCTTGTTCATGCGTGCATCAGTTATCATACTTCCTAGATTTTGACTAAATTGGCTAATGTTTGACTGTGGAACTCTGTAGATGTTTATCAATGTGAGAGGTTTTTGTAGGTATTTGGATTTGAATTTAGCTATTATATATTCCCCATGTTCATCCCTTGTGCAAGTATTAGTGATACATTCTAGTTGGTCTGAGTAGTATATGGCTGTGCCACCCCCTTGTTGGTCTGGCCTACAGTTGTGTATGGCTGTGTAACCAGGAATGGCATAGACATCTGTACTATCAGGCTTTAGCCAGGTTTCAGTTAGTGTAATGATGGACATTTTGGCATGTAAGGAATTTAGTAATGCTATGAGGTCATCGTAATGCTTGCTTAAAGATCTGATATTGTAGTTAAAGATAGTTATGTTGTTTTTTGGCACTGAGAAGTGCCTTTGATTGTTCTGCAGTGTAGTAATTACAGTAACTGTTTGATTCATTTAAGTCATTAAATAAGAGGTTGGTATCAGGATCAATGCTTGTAATCATAAGATTTGTAGTGAATCTATAGTTAGAATTAAGTATAAAACAAAGTAAATAGTCTTAAGCTAAAAAATAGCACCTGAATTATTTAACAAATGTAAAATAATGAGCTAAGGGACTAATACAAATAAAGTGATGATCATATAATAGTGCTTGGGAATATGATAGTAGGTAGTACTATAAAGGTAATTTTTTAAAGTTATAATTATAGTTTAAAATTATAATAAAAAGGGACTATATAGGTTGTGAATAAATGAGCTTTGGAATATAATGGCAAGATTGTGAGCTTATTCTACTTTAGCACCTGAGAATAGCACCTTGATTATTTTAACAGTTGTGGATATATAAACTAGGATTTGTTATATAAAGCTAAAATAAAGGAGAAAATATAAAAGGGACTAAAATTAAGTAATGGTAAGCAAAGTTAAATGGACAGATGGTAGGAATTATAATATAAACTTGTAATATAAAAATACAATTTGAAATGGTACTTGCAATTGCACTAGAGTCTGGTATGGGTTGTTGACAAGATCAAGGTTATAACTATAGATTTAAATTGACAAAAAAAATTCACAATTAAAGTACAAAAGAATAATAGTAAAAAATCACAATGGTAATGTCTTGGTTATAATATGATAGTAAGATGGTAGACAGGTACCCAGGTACACAGGTACAAAGGATAATACAAGGTTGGGGTTGAATATAAAAACTTGAAAATTTGGCAACAAAATGTTATGGGAAGTATAAAATAATGTTTAATGTACAAAAGTAAAATTGACTGGTAGTAAATATGGTGTTTAATAAAATTTTAGTAAGTAATAATGATTACAAAAAAGTGAAATAGTAATGTTTATTTCATTCAATATTGCACTGGTAGTTATACTTGAGGTTATATGGCAGTACAAGGTAATTAAGAGTAATCTAGGATAGTAAATGTGGTATTAAAACAGGTAAAGGTAATTAGTACATAATACAATGAGAAATGATGAATGAAACATTAACAGCATAACACTTACCTTTATTGGAGATTCTTCTTAGTGTATGGGAGACTGGAGGAGGAGGAGAGAGTGGATTGTTTATAGTTTGGAAGGGGAATCCCCTTCCATCAACACCTCAGGTACCATTTGCTTTTCTGGGGTTGCTTCTCTTCTCTGTTTCTTAATGCCACTAGAACCACCTTGAGTCACTGGAGTCCTGTCTCACAAAATAACTCTGGAGAGAGCTCTGTTTCTGGCGTCTCTTTAACACTTCCCTAAAATGGCCCAAGACTTTGTCACTGTACATGTTGCCAACCTGGCTTGCAACAACCTTGTTAGGGTGATGTTTCTCCATAAAGCTTTCCATCTTACCCCACATAGTAAAAATCTCTTTAATTTCTGAAGAAGGCACCTTCTTCCATCTCTCTTCCTCCTCTGCAGCAAGATTCTGAGCTGTGATGTGTTGCTCTTCCTGCTGAAGCTCTTGCAGCTCCTCTGTGGTGAGCTCTTCATTGTGGTCTTCCACCAATTCTTCCACATCCTCCAAACTCACATCCAACCCCATGGAACTCCCCAGTGCCACAATTGATTTTACAACAGACATAGGCTCATTAGGGTCAGTCCCAAATCCTTCAAAATCCCTCTTGTCGACACAATCTGGCCACAATTTTCTCCAGGCAGAGTTCAAAGTCCTGGTAGTCACTCCCTCCCAAGCCATACCTATAAGGGTTATGCAGTGGAGGATGCTGAAGTGTTCTCTTCAAAATTCCCTTAGGGTCAAGTGAGTGTCTGTGGTCACAGTCAAGCACCTGTGAAACATTGCTTTTGTGTAGAGTTTTTTAAAGTTTGCAATAACCTGCTGGTCCATGGGCTGGAGGAGAGGAGTGGTATTCGGGGGCAAGAACTTTACTGTGATGAACCCAAACTCCTCGAAAATTAGGTCATCCAAGTTTGGAGGATGAGCAGGTGCATTGTCCATTACTAGCAGGCACTTGAGATCCAATTTCTTTCCAGGAGATACTCCTTCACACTAGGGCCAAACACTTCATTGAACCACTCGACGAAAATTTCCCTCGTGACCCATGCCTTACTATTAGATTTCCAAAACACACACAATTTACTCTTCATAACATTGTTTTTCCTGAACACTCTGGAATTTTCATAATGGTACACTAGTAATGGCTTCACTTTGAAATCCCCACTAGCATTAGCACAGAACATTAGCATCAGCCTGTCTTTCATAGGCTTGTGTCCTGGCATTGCCTTTTCCTCTTGTGTAATGAAGGTCCTCTTTGGCATTTTCTTTCAAAAGAGGCCTGTTTCGTCACAATTGAACACTTGTTCAGGTTTCAGTCCTTCAGCCTTTATGTACTCCTGGAATTCATGCACATATTTTTCAGCCACCTTGTGGTCCAAACTGGCAGCCTCACTATGCCTTACCACACTGTATATGCCAGTACGGTTCTTAAATTTCTCAAACCAGCCTTTGCTGGCCTTAAATTCACTCACTTCACCACTATTTGCAGGCAATTTCTTTACCAAATCTTCATGCAACTGCCTAGCCTTTTTCACAAAAAATCGAAGTCATAAGAGTATCTCCTGCTAATTGTTTCTCATTTATCCACACCAATAATAACTTCTCAACCTCTTCCAGTACTGGTGATCTCATTTTTGTCAGCATAGTTACTCCTTTTGCAACAACAGCATCCTTTATTTCCTTTTTCTTGGCCACTATGGAACAAAGTTGTGTAGGGTTTCTTACACATCCTGGACAGTTCGGCCACACTTGTACCACTTTCATATTGTTCAATGATGGTTTTCTTAAATTCAATCGTATTTCTCACCTTTACCACAGGCTTGGCACTAGGGGCTTTCTTTGGAGACATGGTAGCTTATTTAGTACTTGCAAGCACTAAAATAAATGGAATATTATGAAATATTTCGCTGGAGCACGTGAGGGGACCTTCACTCCCTGGTAAACAATGCCTGACTGGCTGCTACCCCGGCTCACGCAGTGGGTAGGCATCCCGGACGAACTACGACTCGCGAGTCAACCTATGAAAAGCGAGTCCATGTTTATATGAAAATACCCCTATGATTGGCGAATTTTACGATTGCCGGGAACTACGAAAAGCGGGGGACCACTGTATATATATAGTGAGTGAGTGAGTGTGTGTGTGTGTGTGTGTGTGTGTGTGGGTGGGCTTAATTAACGAATACCACAACGAATTTGACACGTCATTTTACTATAGGATTGACACGTTTATTCTTGATCCTGCTGTACGATTCGGTCATTCCCAGTAGATGAGAAAACATATTGACATACCTGTCTAGTTTTAACAATGAATGATAAATTAACCACAAACTTGGGTAACTGTAAAAAAAAATACTGAACACAGTTTCTACACAAGATGTATAATCAAAAAATAAAAGTCGACTGGGAGTACATACTAATATCATACAGGGATATAAAAAGTACAGAAAGTTTTCCACTTGATGCAAAAAGCATTCTAAATAAAGAATATGTACCTCCCTTGAAACATACCCTACAGCCTACAACACGTGTAAGCCACAATGCTTAACGAGGTACTTATCTTCATGATACTTTTGGATATCGCTGACATTAAAATGCCTGATATTAAGTACAAGTATTATTTAACAATCGTATGTAAATTAACAGGTAGACAAATACGCAAGTTTGCCATATTCTTGACTGGGAGGTGCTGATCATGCTACATGAATTACCTCCCATCTTGACGGGATGTCATTAAAATACCTCATTACTTAGATATGTGGCATCACAAAATTTAATTTTCATCCCCATTTTTTTTTTTCAATCTTTGACTATGCCAGTTCACCGAAGTACAATTGTTAGTTGCCAGTTGTTCTGATTTGCTTGTACATGAAGCTGGTGTATATCCTCCTGTGAAACATTCTTCCAGAAGAGAAGTCGTGCTATGTAAGTCAGCTCAGCACAGTGGAGGAAGAGCCAATTGAGGCCCTTGATGGTTATAGCACACTCGGTAATAGTGAGTTTCTCGAGCCTCATCAGACCCCCGGCGGAGATGACATTAATTATAAGGTCATCGTTGATGCACTCAAAGGTTTCCATGTAGGGCTGCGGCAAAAAATTAATGCTGAGGTGTCTTACGTTCGGAGTGTGGGAGAGCAAGGTGAGAAGAGTTTTGGACGAATTTACCGTTACCGTGGCTTCTTTCAGCAGCTTCCACCCAACAATTTCGTAGCCTTCTTCTATGTACAAACTGGATTCAATCTGCTCTAAGTTCGGAGTTAACTCCATCAACCAAGCCATGTCGAGGAGACAGTTCAAATTGTCAGTGAAAATGAGGGTTTTTAAGTTCTCTCCTCGGGCTCCCAAGTAACTGTATATGTCAGCTGCACAGCCGTGAAAACTGAGCTCAACAGTTAGGGAAGCGATGGGGTAGAGGAAGTGTAGCGAGGGCAACGAAGAGGCAGTAGTCATTAAAAAAGTGAGTTTTGGGCACGCTACGTTCATAAGAGAAGCTTGATGCGGTAAAATTTTGGAGTCCCAAAACTTATTGAGATTGAGTTTGGTTACTCCTTTCTCTGGCTGAAGCAGTTCAATCAGACTAGAGAGAGATCCACCTTCTACGGAGCCTCCAAAAGATGTCAGTGCTGGCACATACCTCAAGAGGAGGGCAGCACTCACCAGACTCACTTGCGTCCCACACACACATACGAAGCTCAGAGTTTTACAGCAGGGATTAGAAGGTAAAGCTGTATCTAAAACTTGCTTCTTGCTCAGTCCATCCACAGCTTGAGGATTCTTCAGCAACAAGGCGGCCACAGCATCGTCGTCCACCCTCACGGAGTCCTGAACGTTCAGGTGCTCCAGCTGGTAACAGTTGGCGCCCAGCGTGGCCAGGATAGTACGATCTCCCACGCCACCTAGGGTTACCCACTGTAGGTGACGCATCTGATTCAGCACTCGATAGAACGTACAATTAATATCCAACAAATATTTGCAGTCAACTTTTGTTTTAACGTTGCAAATCAATCCTAATCGCGTGATATTGATAAGCAAGCCAAGGGTGAGGGTACGGTAGAAGTGGAAAACTTCGTCTACATACCCGTAGCCACTTTGTGAGAGGTCTACCCATTGTGTGCTGCGGTCGCCCAGCATCTCCAGCAACATGCACTTACCGCTGAGCATCACATCGTTCATTTGTAAGCTTAAGATGCGATTAAGCAGCTGCTGCCGGATGTTTGGGTTGAGGGTTGCTAAGACGTATTCCCGTTGTCGCATACGTTCCCGGGGCGCCGCCTGGTAGTCGAGACAGTGATGCAGCCACCGCCATACCCACTCAGAACAGATCTCTGTCAGAGAATCTATCTTCTTGAAGGGGGGCATACTGCTCTCTGTTGGTATGTACGTTATCAAAAAAAAAAAAAAAAAAAAATCCCACTGGAATTTATTTCACTTGTTACAAAAGAGGCCACCCCCTACATAGCTTACTGATCCATAGAATCTCTTATCTACTACAAATCAAAACAAGAGGGTTCAGCAGTCACAGTTCCACGTGTCCCCTAGCTTCCCGCCAATTATGCACCACGAGGCAGTCTGCAAGTAGAAATGATTTTCAGTAATATCAACTCAAATAGCTCAACTTAATTTTTGTATTTGTATGTGCAACTCAAATTATACACAGTGAACTCTTGTCACAAGTCTAATTCACTATAAGAAAACAAAATTATTGAAAGTTCAAATCTCATGCATATTTATTCCTTAAAACGTAAAGAATTGCTACATGCTTGTCCGAAGTGTTATGCATCTACAGTCAGCAGTAATAATATTACTACACTTCACTGTATCACTAGGAACACCTCACCTCAGGGCACTTTATCCAAGGAATCAGAGCTACCCTCCCTTTTCTGGGATCAAACCTGATAACCTCCACTCCCACTCCGCTAGAGCTTCCCCATGAATATAAAGCAAGAACCAGTAATGTTATTGACAATCATAAGAATGCAGAAACACTGCAGTAGGCCTACTGACCCATGCTAGGCAGATTTAATTCTTACCTATTCACATAACCGTCCAAGCTATACAAGATACCCAAATGACGCTACCAGGGAGTTTGTTTCACGCATCTACAGTACAAATGTATTGCCAAACCAGTACTTTCCTACATCCTTTCAGTCTAAATTTGTCCAACTTGAAGCAACTGCTGCGAGTCCTGTCTTGGGTGGGTACTATTAGCACATTATTTATATCCTCCTTTATTCTAGTTTTCAAATTACACACTTCAAGCATATCCCCCCTTAATTCTACGTCTTTCGAAGGAAAGGTTTCGGATACACGGGAACAGAATAATTTAAACGAGGTCTTACCAAAGATATATGAAGGTGAAGTATAACCTTAGAAACTTTTATTTATGCTTCTCATATGAAGTCAAAAATCTTATTAGCTTTACTATGAACACTTAAGCACTTTTTTGGCTTTCAATTTTTGATAACTAGAGCTCCTAGTTTTCGCATTCGTTTTGATTAAGATTCCATTATTTAGCTTATAAGTGGCCTAATGATTGGCTTTTCTAGATTATTATTACAGTCATGAGTAAGCACTAAACCCGTAGGGGTCATATAATGCCAGAGAATGGGAGGCATTCAGGTTCGATCCAAGGAAGAGGGGAGGTCCAATACCTCGGATTAAGAGCCCCTAACCGGCATCAAAGAACCTCTCTAATGTGTTATCAAGAGGATAGGCTGATTCAGTGCAATGATTGAGGTTGGGGGGTCACTGAATTTATTTAAAAGATTTATTGACAATAGCATAACTCAGTTGAATATTTCAGGCTTTCTATACAGTCGTGCATTTAATGCAACGTAATAAGGTACTGTGTCATTAAATTATGGAAATAAATGGTATAAAATACCGACACAATGGAAATATAAACACAAATGCAGTATAATGTGATCCTTTATTGACAACGTTTCACCACACAGTGGGCTTTTTCAAGTCACACACGGATCTACCTGGGGTTGAACGAACGAACGAACGTTCGTTCAACCCCAGGTAGATCAACCCCATGTTATCATAGCTGAACCACTCGTCAAGAAACTTCTTCATCGCTATCCCACATAAGAACATAGAACACTGCAGAAGGTCTACAACTTGTCAAATATCCCTGCCAAGCTACCCAAGACTCTATAACCCCACCCGGTAGATCATCAGATGCAGCATTCTCCACCTGACCTCAACATTCTGAACATGACTATAAATACTCTCGTACCTTCCAACCCCAGGTAGATCCGTGTGTGACTTGAAAAAGCCCACTGTGTGGGTGAAACGTTGTCAATAAAGGATCACATTATACTGCATTTGTGTTTATATTTCCGTCATTAAATTATATTATTTCATAACTTTGTATTTTTCTTTACATTTTGAATTTTTAAAGCAACGTAAATATTGTCATTTATGTGGAGATATAGTTTGAAAGACATTTCACTCCTCCATATAACTAAATAATTTCATTTTTAAATAACCTAACTGGAAACCGTCATATAATTTACGGCAAATAAAGTGTTTTTAAATTTGGGTCTTACTGTAGCTTTAAACCTGTCACTGGCAACTCCTCACAAATAAAATATAAAACAAGAAAGCATCATGTGTCTTTATTTGCTTTATTAACCAGGCCACTTCACTGGAAATTTAAACACCATGTATGGATAAACTTTATTGAAAACACACAAGCATTTAATCAAGTTAAAAATATAGTCATTAATTTATTTAGTTCATTGCAGGCATTTTAAAATTATAATTACAATCAGTAAGAGTATAGAACTACAAGCACCGACCTATCCATAAGTACAAGCACTGATCCATCCATAAGTAAAAGCAATGGTCTATCAGTAACCCCAAACACTGATATATTTATCCATTGATAGAAACACTGGCTATCTATTCATTGATAGAAACACTGGCTATCTATCCATTAATAGAAACACTGGCTATGTATCCATTAACAGAAACACTGGCTATCTGTTCATTAACATACACACTGGCTATCTGTCCATTAACTTTCACACTGGCTATCTGTCCATTAACTTACACACTGGCTATCTGTCCATTAACTTACACACTGGCTATCTGTCCATTAACTTACACACTGGCTATCTGTCCATTAACTTACACACTGGCTATCTGTCCATTAACTTACACACTGGCTATCTGTCCATTAACTTACACACTGGCTATCTGTCCATTAACTTACACACACTGGCTATCTGTCCATTAACTTACAACACTGGCTATCTGTCCATTAACTTACACACTGGCTATCTGTCCATTAACTTACACACTGGCTATCTGTCCATTAACTTACACACTGGCTATCTGTCCATTAACTTACACACTGGCTATCTGTAGAGTAATAGAAACACTGGCTATCTGTAGAGTAACAGAAACACTGGCTATCTGTAGAGTAACAGAAACACTGGCTATCTGTAGAGTAACAGAAACACTGGCTATCTGTAGAGTAACAGAAACACTGGCTATCTGTAGAGTAACAGAAACACTGGCTATCTGTAGGTAACGAAACACTGGCTATCTGTAGAGTAACAGAAACACTGGCTATCTGTAGAGTAACAGAAACACTGGCTATCTGTAGAGTAACAGAAACACTGGCTATCTGTAGAGTAACAGAAACACTGGCTATCTGTAGAGTAACAAACACTGGCTATCTGTAGAGTAAGAGAAACACTGGCTATCTGTAGAGTAAGAGAAACACTGGCTATCCGTAGAGTAACAAACACTGGCTATTTGTAGAGTAACAGAAACACTGGCTATCCGTAGAGTAACAGAAACACTGGCTATCTGTAGAGTAACAGAAACACTGGCTATCTGTAGAGTAACAGAAACACTGGCTATCTGTAGAGTAACAGAAACACTGGCTATCTGTCCATTAGCAGAAACACTGGTTATCTGTCCATTAGCAGAAACACTGGCTATCTGTCCATTAGCAGAAACACTGGCTATCTGTCCATTAGCAGAAACACTGGCTATCTGTCCATTAACAAACACTGGCTATCTGTCCATTAACAGAAACACTGGCTATCTGTCCATTAACAGAAACACTGGCTATCTGTCCATTAACAAACACTGGCTATCTGTCCATTAACAGAAACACTGGCTATCTGTCCATTAACAAACACTGGCTATCTGTCCATTAACAGAAACACTTGCTATCTGTCTATTAACAGAAACACTGGCTATCTGTCCATTAACAAACACTGGCTATCTGTCCATTAACAGAAACACTGCCTATCTGTCCATTAACAGAAACACTGGCTATCTATCCATTAACAAACACTGGCTATCTGTCCATTAACAGAAACACTGGCTATCTATCCATTAATAGAAACATTGGCTATCTACCCATTAACAGAAACACTGGCTATCCATTAACAGAAACCACTGGTTATCCATTAACAGAAACCACTGGTTATCCATTAACAGAAACCACTGGTTATCCATTAACAGAAACCACTGGTTATCCATTAACAGAAACCACTGGTTATCCATTAACAGAAACCACTGGTTATCCATTAACAGAAACACTGCTATCTATCTATTAATAAAAACAACAGCTATCTACCCATTAAAGGAAACACTGGCTTATCTATGCATTAATAGAAGCACTGGTCCATCAATATAATATAATATATATATATAATATATATTATATATATTATATATATATATATAATATATTATAATATATATATATATATATATAAAGCACTTATTTATCCTTAAATAAAAGTGCTGGTATATTTACCCATAAACAGAAGCACTACTGTATCGAATCAATAAATATAAGCACTAGCCATATAAGCATCTATCCATAAATATAAGAGCTGGTTTATATAAGCATTGCTCTTTCCGTAAATACAAGCATGGGTGTGTTTATCTATTAGCAAATCTTCGCACAAGTTTATAAGCAGGTAATATTATATATGAAATCATTAACATTCAAAAAATTAGGTTTCAGTATACAAGCTATACCGCCGTTATCCCAAGTTGAGAAAGACGTTGAGAAAAGCGTGAAAGATGCTGAAAAACAAGTTTATTTTTTCCGGAGTGATATAAGTAAGCATTATGTCTATTAGGTACCACCATATCGAGTCTTACACTACAGTTTTCCAGTATGATTACAACCTACGATGTTTACTCCGGTCTCATGTTAACGTATTCCTGTGTGATCTCACCATATTCCAATTCAAGGTTACCGTACTTTGCTATTGTATTCCAGTCTGATGTCATCATATTTAAGTCTGATGCCACCGTAGTCCATTCCAAACCCATAGTATTTCAGCTTGACACTATTCCCGTCTGATGCTGCAACATTCCAGAATGACGCCGCCGTATTCTAGTATGATGTCACCATATTCCAGTTCAGTACAACTGTATTCAAATCTGATGCCACTGTATTCAAATCAGATACCATTATATTGTGATCCGATGCCACTGTTATTGAAGACCGATGCTAATGTATTCCAGTTCGATAACAATGCATTCCAATCCGATAAAAATGTATTCTGGTCCAATCACAATGCCAT